GGGCTCCCAGGCCTGCGGGCGGCCCTCGGGACCAGTTGGAAGCAGAGTGGCCCGGTTCTCTGCGCTGGAGCGGACGCTCCCCACACACTAAGCTGTGAGCCCTCTTCTCCCTGACGCAGACCAAGCTGAAGCCCAAGCGGGTCAAAGCCCTGTACAACTGCGTGGCCGACAATCCCGACGAGCTGACGTTCTCCGAGGGGGACGTGATCGTCGTGGACGGGGAGGAGGACCAGGAGTGGTGGGTGAGTCGGGCTCGGGGGTCTGTTCCCGGGCGGCGCCCACTGTGCCCCGCGTGCCTCAGCTGCCCTTTCCATGCACCCACTTCTGAGTGGGGTCCTCCCTCGTCAGGGCAGACGGGCCATGTGGGCTGCAGTTTGCAGAGCACACCTGAGGATTTGAGATGAGGCCCTGGCTTTCTCGGTGGTGTCTCCTGCCCAGCGTTGCAGGCTTGGTGGAGTGGGGCGCAGAGGGAGAGCTGACCCGGAGGGCAGAGATGCTGGGTGTTGGGCTGGTCCTGAAACCAGCTGTGGCATCCGGGTGGGAGCTGGAATGGGATGAGCGTGGCGCTTCCCCTGATGACCCTGAGTGTCCAGCCCCGGCCAAGGTCAGGCTGGGTGACCTTGAGCAAGGTGGTTATGTTGCTAAGCCACAGCCAGCTCATCTGAGAAAGGGCGGTGACACAGCACTGTTGCAGCGACGGGCACGGTGGCCCCCAGGGAGAGGTGGCTGTCATAAACTGGGCAGTCATGCAAACAGCTCCTGCACGCCTGGCAGTGTCTGCCACCTGGGGGCCGCTAACGGCCCAGCTCCGGGGCTTGAGCTCAGATATCAGATGGGTCATGCTTGCCATCAGGGCGCAGCCAGGACTCACGGAGACAGCTGCGCTCTCTCAAGGGCGAGGGGTGTTGGTCAGAGTCCCTAGCCAGGCACCCTCCTTGGTGAGCTCTGTGTTCTCTCTCCAGGGCCTTTGTGAACCAACTCGGGGCCTGGCACCGCCTCTGGCATGGCTGGTTCAGGGGTCTTCTTGTGGCCTCTCCCCTCGAGGGGTTCAAGTGCCTGTGGGTCCAGAGCCCCCTCCTCCGTAAGCCTTGCTCCACGCAGCGCAGTTGACGCCGCAGGCGGCAGAGGGGGTGGCAGCTCCTGGTGCCCCTCAGTGCCCATCCAGGGCTCTGCCCGCCCGCTGCCCGCATGGCCCTGAGACAGGTCTGGCCTTCACACTTGTGTACAACCCACCACAAGGATGGGGCTCCAGCCTGACACCAGGCTTAGGCGTCTGGAAAACACCTGTTCATTTCAAAAACTGGCAAAATCAGAAAGCTATAAAGAAAGTAAATGCTGTCTGTAATCTCAGGGTATCCCCCTCACACACACAAAAATAATAATTTAAATTTTGGTGATTTTGTTTTAGATGTTTATTTAACTACTTAATTTACATCGTTGAGATCAGACCTGAGGTATAATTTATATAATTTTCCCAGAGCAAAAGTAAATGGATTTACTGAAGTCTTAAATGCTTTGACTACATTTGGGCCAACTCACATTTGCCACTTTCTGTGACTTGGCAGCGCACAGACTTCTGACATTGTTTCTTCATCCGTTTAAAAACAAAACCAAAAAGGGAGGTCGGGGTGGTGGTCTGATCCTGTGCTGCCTGCCCGCCCCCCCCACCGAGACCACCAGGACCGCGGTGGGGCGTGCGTGCAGACACCGACTCCCCGCGGATAGGAGTCCCTGCGGGTAGTAGGCCGGCACTATTTGAGACGGGAGCGAAAGGAAAAACAGTTTAGATGTTGTACCCAAGTAATTCTTTCCCAGAAGAGATTCTTCCCCAGAAGAGATTCTTCCAAACACATCTTTTTTTTTTCCTCCAAATGCTGTAATGCCCTTCAAAGTTTCCAACATTTGGAATTTGTGTAACAACGTAACCTTTTATTCATTTCAGATCGGCCACATCGATGGAGATCCCAGTCGCAAAGGAGCATTTCCCGTGTCATTTGTGCACTTTATTGCTGACTAAATTGCTACTGAACAAAAATACATCTTTTTAAAGTTATGTCTTGTCTCATTATTGGTACCAAAACTCTTGCCAGATAACCTGTTTCATGAAGTGTATTGTACGGTAGCCCATTTTCTCTAAGGCCACTGTTCTGCTTTAAAAACTCAAAGGCAATTTATATATATCAATGAATTGTTTTTATAATTCGTGTTTTTCATGAAACATTGCTACACTTTTATTAGGAACAACTGAATTTCCAAAAGGTGAACTGAAAAGTTATTTTAACTAAATAATGAAGATTCTGAATCTACAGCATTAGTTGAACCTAAAAATGTTTTGAGTGTGGGAAAGAAATTCGTCCTGTTTTTCTTGGCCCACTTCTGGGGTTGGTGACCTTCAGCACAATTATTCTTTTTAGGAAGCCAGGAAATTGTTGCTTTCAAAGTCCATAGCCAGCCCGCACTCTGCATAAAATGCTTCAGTTCACCTTTAAAGACTTTTTTTTCTTTAAAGATACCTTAAAGATTTCCTTTGAAATCCACCCAATGTTTATTGGAAATGTATACATAAGCGTACTTTCCAGCCCTGGTGTGTGAGGTTGCAACTATCAGTGTATCCTGCATGTGTGTGTAACCTGTTGTGAACAAGCCTACTTGACCCGACTACAGATGGTTTATTATGGCATATGTCACAGCAATTAATTCAGTTCCAGATTATATTAACTGCATTTCCTGAATCTGGTTAAAAACTAAGGATGATGGACTGCGAAACAGTTCTTTAAACTAGTTTCTACACTTTAGGTGTTTGGGATTTGCCTTCCTGAGCCTCCCTCGTCATACAGCTAGAGTACCGTGGTGCAGACCGACCCCCCCCATATTACCACAAGACTTGCAGTTTCCTATCGAGTGTACCACTGCCTTCCCTTTCTAGCCCAAGAGAATGTCCACTCAGTTTAGTGTCTTGTATTTATATAGTATACCAACAGGAATGGTAGTTACACTGTCTTGAAATTTAATCTGTCCATTTGTTTGTAATCAAGAGCATATCAGAAATCTGTAGGTCCCAGGTAATAAAATACTCTCAAACATCCCAGTTTTACTATTGAAGTCCATCGTATCATTCTTAAGCTACTGGGGGTGGGGGGATTAGGTTGTATATGATAAAATCAAAAATTCATTAGTTTAATGAACTTGACTATCATACCTCTATTTAGTAATTGTGTAAGATTCATGGTAGGTATATCGGAAATTTTGGCACTCTTTGAGAATAAATAGGCATATGATGACCACTTAGATTTTTACCCAAAGTGAAGGAGCAAATTTAAAAGAGGCTTGGAAAGCAAGGAGACGATGCTGTTAGTGTGTTTGTTATGATGGTACATTTGATTGAAGCAGCCTGTCTTTATTATGCAAGACTCTTGTAAGTATAGAGCTTTTTTTTTTAATTGCATTGTATTTTTTCATTGTTATTATAAAGGGAGACAGAATAAACTGGAATGTTTTATGATGTTGTATGGCAATTTGCCCTTCAGAGTTCTGGGAAATAATGTGTTAGATCTGTAATTAAAGTCTTTTTTAAAAGCACTACATCTGTTTTCATTAATTGTTAATTTCTGGTTTTGAACCCTTCATTTAGTTAATTCTCTCATAGATTTAAGAAAGTAAACAGATGTTTTGCACAGTGTACTTCCTATGTATATTTTAATACAACGCTCCAACATCTGTATCTTATGATCAGCCTTTTGACTACTTGGTGCCAGCTGTATAAGGAATTAAAGTTGATTCGTATCAACATTTGAACACCAGTCCCAAACTAATATATCAGGTTCACTGGTACATAAATATCTAGGAAATATTTTTCCAATCTACAGTTTGGTGGTGCTGTTGTGCAGTAATTAATACTACTCTTGCCAGAGGAGAAATTATATTAACTTCCCTACTAATATCCTTTCCTAGTTATTTGCTCTTTGCAAATTAAAAAAAAAAAAAAAAGTGAGAGAAAGGAAAACATTGTAGATATCTATTTATATTTAAAGTTTACATTGTCATGAACTTAGCTGCAGGATTCTGGCATTTAGCATGCCATTCTCCACCAGATCTGACTTCTAGGGATGGCGACTCAGAAATCTGTCCACAGACTAATGGTTACTGTGTGATCTGTGAAGGGGTGGGCGGGTACCACGGTCCACAGGGTGGATACTGTCTGAGATGTATGATATTCAGTTCATTCACTTGATTACTTCGGTCTAGTTGCAGCGCAACTGTATATATTGTATAACCTAAATCAGTTCTTATTTTCATTGTCCTAATTAGAGCATGTTTAATAAGTTTACTCTTCTTGTTAGCTAATCCTTTGACTGGAAAAAAATAAAATACTTTTAAATGGACATGGTGTTTTTCATGTTTTTAATCTTTAGTAAAGCACTACATATAAAAAGTCCTTTAAAAAATACACTAGCCTACTGAACGTGAGATTCTTTACAGTGTGTGACTTGTAACCTGAGCAGTAATCTTTGAAGGTTTTATTACGTCTAATTACCCTGAAGATGATTATTGCCGTTTACCAGCATGTCATCCTGACCGACAGTATACTTTTAAAGTTTTCCTCTTTGTGACTTGAGTTGGCAGTGTCACCTGCCGGTGCTGCAGGATAGATGGCCTTGGTCGTCCTCAGAAAGTTCTCCATGTTCATTCATCACCGAGGGCACTTCTGCGACACGTAAAGGTTATTAAGCTTATTTGTGTTTAAAAGCAACAAATGACGTTGCTTTTTTAGTCCCAGTAGGTAGGTAACTTCATTGAGAGTTAACTCACTGTTAAATAAGAAACATTTTAATAGAAAAACAAACGACTGATATTTTATATATTGCGTTTCTTCAGAAAATCTAGAGCAAAGGATCGCTCATATTTCCAAAATAGTTCACCACCACCGCAGAGTGAAAACAGAACTATTGAGAAAACAGCTGAACTTGCAGGTGAAGTCTGCTTCCCCTTGATTGCAGAATTCAGGGTTTCTCAGATGTCAACACAGAGTCAAATGCAGTGGATAAAACTTTGCAGATTGCTTGTGCTTGTTCCTACGTTAAGTGAAAAGATACAGTAAGAGTTCATAAATCGCTTCCCGGAGTAAACGTGACCCTCCTAACGCCTCTCCTAAACCTACACGTCACCAGTTTTGGAAAGCCCCGGACACGGCCTGCCTGGGTCACCGTGTTCCTCTGCCCCTCAGGAAGTGCACGCGGTAACACAGGACCCCATGGCCTTTGGAAGGGACCCTCACGAGTCAGAACAACAAGGTATGGAAAGGCGTGGCTCTGCCCTGGAGGACACACCGCTTTCCCTCACCAGCTTTACACCTGCTCCTGGCCTAACAAACAGCTCACAGCCTGCAGGAGGTCTGGCCCGGCTGACCTGGGGCCTGATTGATATACTCATTTCTCCTGTTATGCCAGGTGTTTGCTAGGCACATGGCAGAGAGCATCTCTTCAGCCTTTGAAAAGACTAAACAGTCTCTGGTTTTGCCACTTTGTTTGATGAATTATTAGAATAATAACCAAGGAGGCTGAAAACCTCACCAGGCTGTGGCACTGGTAAACCCACAGGTTGTATTCTTCGTTGCTCGCATCTGTGGTCTTCAGAGCCAATAAGCTTTTTCCTGCCCCCAGACCATCATCATAACACACCATCTGGATGATTAAATACAGAGCATGCCGATGCAAAACATCCTGCAGAAATCAGGGAAAAGAAAGACCATGCTAATTTTATATGTTTCTCCATTCGTATAATGCATTTTCCTGTGCAGAATTTATCATGAGATTTTAAACTGAGCATATCCATCCATGGATCGGGCAGAAAGGAGTTTCACAGATTTTTCACCCAAAGGGACATTCTAGGATGCTCAGTTATGGGCCAATTTGCCTTTAGGATCATACCTTCCTACTTAAGTTCTAGGAAGATAGAGTGAGATGATCTAAGTTCACAATCCCATCCTCTATGCCCAGCTTCCAAGCTGATGCCTGCTCTGAATTGGCATGGGGTCCTAAGCTGAAAATGCATTAGGGGACCAGCCGGGGGAGGGGAGGGGAGGGAAATGGCTTGGGCCCTACACTCACAGAAGCAAAAGCCCCTATTCATTTACCCTAGGAAACTGGTCACTTTTAAGGCCAGGTGCCAGAAATGTTTACAAACCAACCACTCTGCAAACAGAAGCAGACCTAACTACAAGAGGGCCCTTCCCGGCCTGAACTCCCCAAAAGCTAAAACACATTTTCCCCCTTAATTACTTACATACTGATCTGACGTGGATACTTTTATACCATACTTGGAAACTCCCATAATAAATTCTTCCTCCAGAGGAACAAAAGGCAACTTTCCATCCTGCTTTAAAGTAAAAATAAATTACATAATATACATTTAAAAAAATTATGTTTCATTCCTAATTCTGATTAGTCAATTTTAGCATCTGGCCATCACAAACCCAAACCCTTTAAAAAATGTGGGGCATACAACAGCCCAGCAGG